GCCATTAGCACAATCCTTATCGTGAATTTATATTGCCGTTGTTTTTATGAGTATTGGGTTTCTTGATTTAGCCGATACATTTATTTTTGAAATTTTATGATATCTTTAAATTTATATTTTATTAAAAAATAAAAAATTATCCATTTTTTAAAATCACATAAAAACCGTATTAAAACATCTATAAAAATGGATTAAAACAAAATATTAAAATCAAAATATATCTTACTATATTACATGAATACCCTTCTGATAGGAGCCAGAGATTTTATTTGAATGGAGAGTCAACGAAATTTAACCTAATTTAAACAAAACAAATTATATAAGAAAGAATCGATTTTATTATTTTAAATTTTATATCCATATTAATCCCTTTATTTGCGGCTGTTCTTTCTTTTTATCTCTGAAATTTCTTAGCGAGAATATTTGTAATCGACTCCAAATTTCGTCTCGAAGTCCCATTGTTGCTACCGATCCTTCTCCTAGGGATCATCTTTCACCTCTCCGTCACCGGCGACGATCTTACGGCAGCCTAATGCAAGTTCACTCTTCCTAGCCCCTAATCACAACGCAATTTGGTCCAATTTCGTACACTCGATCCTTTACTTTTAAATCGTTGGGTTTTAATTTTCAGATAGAGAGGGAGAAGCAACGGCTACATCCGATTGATTCGTGTGCTCTTGCAACCAAAACCCTAAATCCAAGAATTAGGTATTTGTTTGTTACGTACGCTGTTTGATTGTTGATCCTCTTTTTACACAATCATAGAGAAAATTTGAACTTCCTGCTATCATACAAGTACTAGTTTATGGTTTTGGGTGTGGTACTACCGATTTCTCGGGGAAAAAACTAAGAATAGCTTCGGTTTGTTTTTTAATGTCTCTTTAAAAGCAATATTGAAATAATTTTGTTGTAGATCAAAAGTCTATGCTATTCTATTGTACTATTTATATAGCAAATCTTTCTTGGACCAATCAAAAATCCATATCAATATCTATGCTGTTAGTACCGTCAAAATACAAAATATCTGTCAGGACCGAATCGGTGATATATTGGTCCAAAATAGCGGTTAATATAATATTTCTTAGAATTATATATATATATATTATATGGATGGATCCATAAACATATCATATGCATTAATTAGAGTTTAGAAATACAGTTTCAAAATTAAAACATCACATAAACCGATAAACAAGTCTCACAAAACAAAATAGGAAGTGTGTTAAAAAACGAGCTAATCACAAGCAATAGGTTCAGCATCCGAGTCAACATCATCTAATGCGTTCACTTTTTCGTTTAACATGTAATAAGAAAAAGCCTAAATATTTGTCTTATAGAAAGTCAGTATATCGGACCGATTTTTCCATCAAAATATCGGTAAATATCGGCGATATTATCGGGACCGATATTTTGTCCGATATTTCACCACCGATTTTTTCCCCAAGTCCGATATCCGATATATCGCGATTTTAAGAGCATAGATCAATATTGATGCTGAAAAACTACGAAACACCTGATGCCCGGTCAGTTATCAATATTGATAACTGGAAATAAAACAGCATGTACAAAAAGAGTAATTCTCTTATTGGTATTTCTAGCTGTAATGTTGTTCTATTTTAGGATTAAAGTCAATCATTAAACAGGAGATGGATACAAGTAATGGGAGGCCTACTCAGGGGGGAAGTGCTGGTGGTGGTGTCTCCTCTATGCAATCTGCTGATTGGAGGTCTCAGCTGCAAGCAGATTCACGTCAAAGGATCGTGAACAAGATGTATGTATTTACGTTCTTAAAGTTATCATTTTTATGTGCTTTAAAATTTGGTTATGTATTAGGATAACCTGCCTAGAATCTTACTTTAACTAGAATGATGATACCTTTTGGGATTTTGTTGTTAACTATGTAGCCTTATGTGAAGAAATAAAGTCTCATATTTAAACTTACAAGTGTTAATTGTTAACCTTCTAAGGGGCCGTTTAGCTAAACACTTACCCGGTAAGCGTTTGTCGGTAAAATTCAACACTAGCATTTACTTTTCGGGTAAGATTTGAGTCCACCAAAATGACATTGTATGTAATAATTTACCCGGTAAGCGCTAACCGTGGTAAGAGTCATCGCCATCACTTACCACGTAAGATTCTCAGTCCTTGTTTTCGCTCTTATCGGGTAAGATTCTTGGTCTTTATCATAGTCATCCATAAGGTAATGTGACTTGGTAAGCGCTTACCCAAGTAAGCATTTGGTAAACGGCCCCTAAGTGCCAATATTAACTGGGATAAGCTACATTGAATGGGTGCTAGATTTTGTATGCTCTTGTGTTCTTTATTTGGAAAATCAATGTTGTTTTAGGCTCGGAAAGTCTGCTTAGTTTTTTCTATATTGGAGGTTGAATATGAACTGTTAGTGACAGCTTCACTGGCATCTAAAGTTCCTTATGCTGCACCTTCTTGGATCATGGTGAGTACTTATGCAAGTTCCAATAGTTGATTTGAACCGAACGCCCTGTTAGATTGAACTTAAAACCTCAAGCATAGTATGTGTCCAGTGAACCTCTGTGAACCCTTATTTCCTTAGTCAGCATAACATGTGGGTTTGGTGCAGGAAGTTCTAAATTCCTGTTCTGCACCTAGTTGTATGGTTCAAGTTCTCACCACGAGGGATTCTGTTTGTTTTCCTTTTTGAACTCAATTCTCCTTTTTTGCTTCTTTTGTATTGCACAAAAGAAACATTTGTTATGTTCTGAAAGTATACCGTTTGATTTCGCTGGTTCTCCACATTTTGATTTGCAAAATCATGCATTCTCCCCGAAATATCTGCTATATCGCTACATTATATGACCAACACATGTTGATCTTTCGCAGAACGGATACCTTGAAGAAGCATCTACCGTTCTCTGGAGATGAGGGGCTACAGGAACTTCAGAAAATAGCCGTGCGGTTTGAAGAGAGGATTTATGCCGTTGCGACAAGCCAGGTTTGTTGTGTGGTCTAGTCGCTGATGTTGTCCTATGTTTGTGTTCCTTATATTATATAAACATTTTTGTAGCTTTTGCTTTCGTTTTTCTGGAATGAAGATATTGCAGGAGTCGAGTACTTCGAAAATAGAACAAGAAAGTGATATCATGTTTGTCAAATGCTGTATGGTACTTTGGGACCTAAATCCCTTCATTTATTTTGGTTTGCAGTCTGACTATCTGCGACAGATATCGCTGAAGATGTTGACTATGGAAACTAGATCACAAAATCCCATGCCAGATGCAATTCAGTCGAACTCTGCTGCTAATAGTGTAAACCCCTCAGATGCAGGTATTTCATAATACACTATTGTTCAATTTGTTATACAGATATGATTTATGTAGGAATAAGCTGTGAAAGTGTTGTTATAATGCAAGCAGCATGTGAGTTTATTTCCAATACTTTGGGGCCGTTTACCAAATGCTTACTCGGGGAAGCGTTTACCAAGTCATGTTATCTCACCGGATGAATATAGTAAAAATCAAGAATCTTACCCGGAAAAAGCGAGACAAAGACCAAGAGTCTTATCCGGTAAGTGAGGGCGACGACTCTTACCACGGTAAGCACTTACCGGGTAAGTTGTTGCATGTGATGTCGTTTTGATGGACTAAAATCTTACCCAGTAAGTAAATAATAGTGTTAAATTTTATTGATAAGCACTTACCGGGTAAGTATTTGGTAAACGGCCCCCTTTGTTTTTCTCTTTGTGATTGTTTTATGAACTTCTTTGCTGCATATTTCCTTTGAAACTTCCTTCTTAGCTGTATGGTTTGTGTGCTTATTTAGGCATCAAGGGATTTACTGGCTTTACAGTGCCTTGTTCACTTGGCTCAGTCGTGTTTTTGTTTTTTCCCCCGCAGCAGGTAATCAAGGAGGCTGCTAAGTCTTGTGAAAGGGAGTAGATCAGGATCTCGATTTCAAAAGTTTCGAGAGGTTTGGTGCTTATTTTAATTACTGGATTTATTTCATAGCAGTTTTCAAGGTTATATTTGGATTTTGTGGAATTGTTGGAAGATACTTGAAGTTATTTGTTTGGAGATTTATTTCTTTACTTTGAAGATATATAAGTTCGTTATTGGAATATTTTATTAAACAAATTTGAGTTTCTATATTTTTGGAGATCTATTTACCAGTTCCGTTATGTTTTGACGTAACCTCCCTTCCTCGGGAATTGTGATGTTACAATAAGATTGGATTAGTGTTTTTTTTTATAATATAACGAAAAGTGTATTGAGATGATAAAATTATAAAATATTTTTAATACTGTAATTAATGTTGAAACCTCTTAAATAAAGAATTTATTGGAGTTGGGTATAATACATTATATGCGGATCCTCTTAGAGCATCTTTAACAGCTATACTATATTTTCTCTAAAATGGAGTATTAAAAGTCAAAATCTTAAAAAAAATTATATTTAGCTCTAATAGCTATTCTATTTTAGCAATTCTAACATTAATTATATTATTAAAATATTTAATATGTTTAATAAAATATTATTTCTCTATTTTAAATATTTATTATAAATATCTCTTATTGGTGGAACATATTAAAATAATAATCTCTCTCCTTGCTTAGAGATTTCTTTAAATTTAAATATTTTTACAATTTTTCTCCTCTTTTGTCTATTTTAGCATAAAAGATAACATAGTTGTCATAGCAAATTTTTTTTGTTAAAATCATTTTTTTCTCTATTTTAGCATAAAAGATAACATAGTTGTCGGGGCAAAAAAATTGTTAAAATTATTTTTTTCTCTGTTTTAACATAACTGTTAGAGATGTTCTTATATGAACAGTGACATGATACACAAATGTGTTCACTTATGGCATGTCATTGCAATTCATATCAAACAAGTTACCCATTGTTGCAATGGATATTTTACCTTTAAACTCTTCAATTCTCATTTTTATTCTTTTTGTTACCTATTGAAATATTCGACAAATAAAAATATAATATTATAATAAGGAAAAAAACAAAAAACATATATTATTGTTTCTTGCAATTAACCATTTTAAATTTAAAACATTTTAAATACTAATTATACGAATTAACAAATTATGTAATGAAATGGGTATTTTATTTAATTTAACACTTATATTTTTAGAGAAATTGTAATAGTAGTCGTCACTATTACGACAACGACAAACCACTAGTAATGAAAACGTCGTTGACTTACCTGAATCTCAGTTCTTGCTTTTTTCTGTTGAGTATTCTACAAATGTGGCAACATGTGGTGTGATGAAGATGATGGTAGTTCTCAAAGCTGAAAATGAAGGTTTGATGTAGGGTCTACAACGATGGCGTTGGAGAAGGTTGGTGGTGTTTGGGGGGTTGTTAGATCTGGGTTTTCTCCAAAATTGTAATTTTGATTCAAAAAAAACCAATTTCCTTGATCCACAAATTATAATGCATATTCTTGAGCACAATGTATTATTTTGATCCATAAATCACAATGCGTAACTTGTGTTGACAAATCACAAATTACAGTGCATATTCTTGGGCACGATGGGTTATTTTGATCCACAAATCATGATATATATCTTGTGTTCACAAGATCCACAAATCATACTGTGTTATCTTGATCCACGAATCACAATGGGTATCTTGTGTTCACAAGTAAGGGCAACCGAGTGGGTCTCGTACGCCTACTCATTGATTATCGTAAAGTGAAAAAATGTAGGTGTCTTGAAGGTGCACGTACTTAATTTTAAGGATTGCCTGAAATATTTTAAAACTAAATTTGTAACACAAATATAGAGTTGGCGAGATTGCTTCTCTTGGCTGAACTAAAGCTCCCCATATAGGATGTCTAGGGTTGGATCCTAACTTCTTGATATATATTCTTAACTTTGTATTTTCTAATTTTTTTCACAACTTGTAACGTAACTTTTTGTGTAACTTTTTTAATTCAATGTTTTATTATAATTTAATTTAAATATAATAACAAAGTAATTTATTTTTGGTTTTTTATAAAGATAATAATTAAACATTTTGTTAGAACTCAATGATTATCTTAATTATATTTTTGATTTTCTATATTTAAAATGGATGTTTATCCTGTATTTGATTATGTTTATCAGCAGTTAGTTACACAAATTTCAAATTGGAGCTTTAATAAGTTGTACTTACGCAAAATTACTTGTAATCTTAAATTTTAAGTAATATGCATAAATAAACAGTAATTCATGCATAAAAATAGTTTTTAAGAGTTTTTGTCAAATAATTTATAATATAGCATAGATAATGGATTTACCTGGATTAATACATGATTTTCTTTTAGTCTTTCTGGGATTGGGTCTTATATTAGGGGATTGAAAATCTAGAAAAAAAAAAAAACAGAGGACAATTAATATCAAGTATTAAAAACTTGAAATTTTAATGAAATCAACCAAAAAAAATACAAAAAAGTTTCCAGTAACATTGGAATTCAGCTAAAAACACGTCGGACGTAAGACGTATTCTTGTGTTTTGCTCAAAAGGTCAAGGTCGATTCAATTTGGAAAATGTATTACTCTCAGAATCAACATAATTGAATTTCCCTCGGGTCAAACCACGTTGACTTTTACTTCCGATCAAGCCCACAAATTTACGAGACTTTGATCCACCTTAAAGGTTCACCTGCTCAAGAAAATTCATGATTGAAAGTGAGTCACGAAGCGGCTCATGGGAATGAGTTGGATAAAGAAGAAGAAGAACGAAGTGGGGTTTATTTCAAACATTGGGTTATTTGCAGGTGAGGAAAGGGACGGTGGTGGAAAGAGGAGGTGCAAGTAGTAAATGCCGGGCGATAGGGGTGAGGGACTATTGACGATGGACACCTTATTTGGCTTTTTAATTGCATTACGTACTTGTATACATGCTTTAACACTTATACTAGTGTTCTAACCGTCCGTTGTGCGGTAGTCATAATACCATCTTCAAAAGGAATGTTATAGATTAAAATTTGAAGTCCATTTCTAAAAAAAATTAGGCAAATGTGTGTGGCAACTACTTATTAACATTAAAAGTTTTTAAGAGAAGTTAACAACAATCTTAGAACCATATGCTGATTTAAGTTATCTAACTATGCTCAAGAACGGTGCTACTAAGTACTCTCTACAAAAGTTTGACTAATGCTAGTAGTTTGTTTAATTAGAAGTCACAGTTCTAACTAAAATATCATATAATGTGACAAAATCACGATGTTAATTTTGTAAAAAAATTAATTGAAATCTCATTTGAAGTTCTGAAAAAGAAACGTTTTATAATATTTCAAGTGAAAATTAGAGGAGTGCCTAAGTTGTAGCAACAGTAGTGGGAGTTCAAGGCGATGAATGTAAAACCATATCAAGTGGGGTCAATGACCCACATATCAGATATCAAACTGATAAAAACAAATACTACACTTTATCGTAACATTCTATAATATTTGAATTGCAATTAGAGGGGTGTGTCAGACCTTGATAATAGTAACACCAACATGACAAATAAATAACTATGTCACCAAGTAGTATAATGGGCATTCTTGTATAAAAAATAAAATATCAAGCAAGCTGAAAACCCATATATTAGATATCAAACTAAGAACATATAATATATTTGATCTAAACAAAAAAAAAAAAAAAAAACCTAAGATTCGGGATAGATATGTTAAACTAAAAACATATACTACATTTGATCTTAAGCAAAAGATCGACATCCGAGAAAAATATGTTTGTTCCATTTTTAGTCATTTTTTTTATAGTAATCTCCCTCTTGCCACTTTCCCTCCATCATCCTATGCGGGATGCAAATAATATTTAGAAAAAAGTTGGCTCTTTTCTTTTTGTATCCATCTCTAACATGCCTCTTGATCCAATGTGGGATGCAAACAATAATATGAGAAAAAAATGATTTATAATGCTTAGAAGTTGTCACTTGATTATCCTTGGTTATTGCTTTTATATAGGTAAAAGTAGAGATATAAAAATATAAATTATAGATATATAACTATTGTTTTTACAACTATAACTTCGACTAATTTTACGGTTTTGATTTATCGTCATTTTTTTGTAATTTTTTATATTAGTTTTTGATATATAATTTTTTTTATAAAAGATGGTTGGTCAAAAAAAATAATAACCCATAAATTGCACAAACTCTCTTAGTATTATAAGATATCTAACTCCTTTTTAAATATCAACTTCCTTATTTTGTATTATTTGGATGGTATTGGTTTCAACAACGGTTATATATTTTGTTTTATTTCTTTGGTTCATTCTTTAATACATTATATTGATATTGACATTGGTTGATGATTGATTTCAAATTCATTTTTTCCTTCTTTCACATATTTACCTCCGTCTTCGAATATATCATATTTTCATGAATTTACGACAATATCTTAACATGTAATTTCTTTATATATAGATTTATTTTATTTTACTTATAATTATATAATCAAGTTTAGTGAATATAAAGAGGTTTTCATAAATTAAATTTTAATTATAACAAACTAAAACAATCAATAAATTGTTCGTTATATTATTTTAAAGTTTTTAATTCAACTTTATCGTATATAATATATACTGAAGTCATATCATTACCTTTCATTGTTATTTTAAAGTCAGTTGATATAAAAGAAATGATATAAAAATAGGGTCATCCAAGTAGGATAATCTTATGATCAAGCTTCATGAGTTGACACAATGAATCTCATTCTTCTTACTTTTACATGTCTCCATATTCTAATATTTCAATCTCTCACTAATGTGGAATATCTCAAACTCAACCATGATTCCTCAACACCTCATTACTCAATTCTCATGATTTCACATCAATACCTTCCGGTCCGTTTCCTCGGTGTTCCCCTCATTACTACCCGTCTGTACCATAGTGACTGTAAGGGTCTTGTTGATAAAGTTAAAACCAAATTAAATGTTTGGAAAAATAAGTCCCTTTCCTTTTGTCGGTAGATTGCATCACATTCTCTCGATCCTGTCATCAATGAAAATCTATTGGGCCTCGATTTTTATTCTTCCTATATCTATCTCTAAGGAGATTGAGCAACTCATGAGGGGCTGCCTTTGGTGCCACAGTGAGCTTAAAAGAGGGAAAACAAAGGTCTCCTGGAAGACTGT